CACCAGGTAGCCCACATCTGCTGAACGAGGCACCATTTCAGCCACCATGGAGCCACCAGTCTGGACTGGGTACAGAACCTGAGGAGGATTATCATTCTGATCGAGAATATTTAATACAACTGTTGTGTTGCTGCTTAATGGTGGCGAACCTCCGTCCTGACCCTTTAGGTAAATATTTATTTTTTTAATTTGCTCGAAGTCAAATGACAGAACTGCTTGTATAACACCAGTTTCTGCGTTCACTGATACGTAGCTGGATATGGGGCTACCATGTAGCTCAGTATCAATAAGCAGATAAGACACTCGTGCATTCTGACCTGAATCAGAGTCATGAGCTTTTAGAGAAAACACAGACAATCCCGGGGAGTTATTCTCCATGATACTAGCTTCATAAAAATCTTTTTCAAATAGAGGGGCGTTATCATTTATGTCTGATATTTTAATAGTTATAGTCTTGTTTGTAGAAAGCGGCGGAATTCCTTCATCTACTGCCGTAAAAGTAATGTTATAATCAGGCCTCTGCTCTCTGTCCAGAACACCGTTTGTGACAAGAGTGTAATAGTTCTTAAGCGATGACTGTATTGCGAACGGGATATTGCCATTAACTGAGCAGTCCACCTTTCCATTTTTGCCCGAATCTAAATCTTTAACGTTTATTATAGCAACAGTGGTTCCACTAGGAGAATCTTCAGGGATCGTATTAGAAAACGAGGTAAGCGTTATAAAAGGCGCATTGTCATTCACATCTATTACTTCAATTATTACGTTCGTGGATGTGCTTTGTCCGCCTTGATCCTTTGCTTGAACCCCAATTTCGTACAATTTATTTTCTTCATAGTCAATTTTTCCCCTAACTGTTAAATCGCCGCTGTTTTCATCCAGGTGGAAAATCCCCGCAATCTTATTGGACATGTGATTAAAATGATATGTAACGTGTCCGTTCTTCCCTTCATCTGCATCTGTTGCGCTCAAGCTCAAAACTAAAGATCCTTCTGGGACATTTTCTTTGACAGAAGCCTTAAAATTGTGTTGCATAAAAACGGGGGCATTGTCATTTGTGTCTAGAACAGTAACGTGTATTTTTAAGCTTCCTGATCGTTGCGGTTCGCCCCCGTCAACAGCAGTGAGTGTTAAAAGTAGTTTTCCATCTTTTTCTCGATCTAAAGCATCAGAAAGGTACAGCTGTGCATATTTGTGGCCATTCGGACTGGAGAGAACTTTAATGTTAAAATTAGTCGTCGGATGTAATGCATAACCGTGTAAAGCGTTGATGCCGACATCTTGATCTGTGGCGCTCACTTGTAATATTTCTGTACCTGGAAGAGCTGATTCCGATACTTCTACGTGCATTTCCTTTTCATGAAATGTGGGCGCATTGTCATTAATGTCTAGCACTTCAACTACAACGCTATGCAGCTGCATCGGATTTGTCAGAATCATCTCAAAATTCAGGCTGCAGGGAGACGTCTGCCCACAGAGCTGCTCTCTGTCTATCCTGTTTCCCACCACCAGATTCCCTTTGTCTACATCAAGCTTAATGTACTCGCTGCTATCACCGCTAACAATTCGGGCACCACCTAATTTTAATCTGTTAGCGTCGACACCCAAGTCCTCAGCTACATTTCCCACGTATGAGCCCTTTCTCATTTCCTCCGGGACGGAGTAGCGGATCTGGCAAACGGTGGATTCGATGAAAAAAACAAGGAGGAAGGCCTGTACTTGCCATTTAACTGCGTGTTCCGTGCTGATAAAATGCATATTCCCGAAAGAATACGTCCAAATACGAGAGAATATCAGTCCAAATTCCTAATTGTCAGACAGTATAGCCTTTTATTTATTTTCCTGTATGATCCAGTCGGGATGCACCGCACGCTTAAGAGTAGAAACCGCTGATGAAAATAAAAAAGCGAACGTCCTGCCCTCCGCGGAACACTAAGTCAGGCTTCGGAGGTGTAGCTCCTTTTCATAAGCGTTATATTTGCTGCAAAGACTTACAGCGGCCCCCAGAGTCTGAAATGAAAATATTAAGTGTGTGAATATAAAAACAAAATGGAAAAAGGTAAAAAAAAGAAAAAAATACAAACAATGTTTGATGATTTACGCATCAATAATATCCAACGTTTGCAGGCCTATGTGATACAGTATGAAATTTTTTTTTTTCTAGTATCTACAGGAGTAAGAAGAGGTAAGTACAAACAATGTCACCCTAAGCTGGTAAAAATGTTTGAATGTTGAATTCATATTCTAATCTAAACAGGTATGCACAAAATCCGTTGACAAAAAAAAGTGCAATATTTGAATTTTTGAAGTGTTATTTTGGAAGTAGAAAATAAACAGGAAATTAAAACGTGGAATACAGAGTATTTTCAATATTGTTATATTATTAGTCGGATATTTCATGGAAGTAAATACATATATCAAAAACATTTTTAAATGAACTTAACGTGCATTAAATATTTCTGATTTACATAAATCAGAATCATTTGCAATTGAAAGAAATTTTTTTTTTTAAAAAAAAAAGCATGTATCTGAACAATAAAATGTTCAAAAGCAAACTGGATCAATTGATGAGAATAACTAACCTCCAGAGGAGAATCAGGATCATCCAGGATGCTCTTCTCACTCTGTATCCTCTGCAGAGTGTCTGTAGAACTGGGATCCATTATCAAGACGTTTTGACTACCAGCTTCTCCGAACTTAATGTCACTCTTTCTGGAGTCAGTCGTTCTGCACACCTCGTAATTGTAAACGTGTGGCAGAGTTCCTGTTCCCAAAGTGTCTGAGTAACGAGGTGGATAATATGGAATCACAGGGAGGCTGGAGTGATACAGGATGCGAGACTGTCTCCATCTGTAGATCTTCACTGA